CCTTGAAAACTGCAAGGACTCATCCCACTCACAAAAACCAAAGGGCCAGTTAGATTTTTTAAGGTATCTTAAAAGATTTTTTAAAATTGTTGTAACAGTTTGTACTGTTGAAAGCTTGTTAGCTCATGGCTGGTCTGAAATCCATGAGTATTCAAGGGCACAAGCCAGAAAAGGAGTGTTGAAGATGAAGAGGGTGAAATCGTAATGTACTAATTTGCAGAGGACCCTTGGTAGGTTTGAAGATGACCAAAGAGATAAAATCAAAGCATCTTGTTGCCTGTCAAAGCTAAATCAAGGCCAGTTGCCAGTTCATCTGACTGAACTAGAGAAATCTTGCCACTAATACCTGTAAGTCCTTCCTTAACTCTAGAATTAGACTTAAGAACTCTAGAGGTAGAATTTTAATTAGAAGAGACAAAATTAGAATAGGGGATGTATATGTTGAGCTTAGATCATAATCTGTGCGCATATAGATGCTTAGAATTTACTAGAACTCAAAGTTGGAGTTCAGAAAAAAATGTTTTCACTTTTGAAACACTCTTATGAGCAAGGGAAGAACAAGTGTTCACTGTAAATCATGTCTGTAAAGCTTAGCTGGAAACAAAACTTTTCCATTTCCAGCTAAGCTTTGCAAACATGATTGCTATGTATTTTATCTGTAGTCTGAATTAAAGGGAGGATTAGAATGTTGTTCTGTCTCCTTCACTCAGATCCTTCAACATATCCTGTGACATTTATTTGTTTATTTGAATTTATTCGCCACCCAACTCCAGTGGACTCTGAACGGTGTACAAAATTAAAAAACATAAAAACAGTGTGAAACATTAAATCTCAATAATTTAACAATCCATATCATTTGTGCCATTATTACTTACTCCTCTCTATATTCCTATCATTTAATAATCACTGTATTTGCTAAGTAGTCTGCTTACCAAACAAGCATGATTAAATAACAAAAATAGAGTTTGCAACAACCAAGCTCAGAGAACCCAGGACTCTGCAGTTCAATCCTAAGCTACATATATTCTCTTCTGTTAGTTTGCATATTGTTTATCACACTTTCTTTTGTTAGGTTACTTGCAGAAATCTGTACATGGGAGCATGCTTTAAAATAGTTGCTTAATACCAATAATTGATTTCAACAAGGAAGGTTGAGTGATACTGCATTGTAATCTATTGTTATGTAACTCAATTTTTTTAAATTAAAAAGTGCATTAGTGTTATAGATACTCAAGGGCCTTGCTGTTTAATTGCTCATGAAGATATTTTTTCCCAGTTAAAAACACTTCAAGGCTTTGCTGGGTGTGGATAGAAGGTAAAGGAGGTTCTACTGGTTGATGATTTGCAATAGATCATCAAAGGGTTCTGGATTTATTGTTTAATAATAGTAACAAAAGGATTCCATACCTCCTAAATTATTCTCTTAGAATACTTAATAGGTATCTATACAGAGACATCTTCCTGCTTTTCATCCCACAGAAAAGCTGAAAGTTGTTTAAAATAAAATCATAAAATGTTACTGCTACAATCATATTCATTTTTTATTTTTTTTTAGCGAGTAGCAGTAGTGGGTATCCAACCTTGTGCATCTGATAAGGTATGTTCTTTATTTCAGACACGTTTCTGCAATGCTTTTTATATCTGAAGCTGGATGTGACAATGCTCTTTTCCCTAACTACTTCATGGAAGCAAATCTAATGGTGCTGACAGGTGCAGCTGTTATTCTTCCAAAGTCATATGACATACCTGGATGCAATTGCCATCATGGAATATGGCACCAAAATTGACCTTCAGGGATATGAATAGATACATTCAGTCAGATAATGCTGAAAGGAGAGGGAGGGAGGGAGCGCTGATTATCTTTAGTATGCTGTTGTTCCCTGTGTTTTTTAATAGGATATATTTGACTACTGGCAACTTTAATTCTATACAGTATTGTTATATTTCTGTTGTGTTTTATTTCAAGAGCGTATTGCTTCCTCTTGCTACACACACACATGCACACACTTCTCAGTTATGAATATCTTGACTGTCTTTTTTATATTCTTCCATTGCTAGCAAGAGAAAATAGATGACCAATTACCCTCATTCTTCATATGTGATCAGTAGAAAGGCAAGATGTTGAGTAAAGTGCATAGAACCTAGGTAAACTAACATGTTTGCTATTGCAGGTGCTATTTCATTACTTACCTACAGTTTTTTGGTTTCAGAGTTGCCACACTTACAAGATTAACATTCATGATCATTTACATGAATTGTGTTTATACACTGCTACAAGTAGCGCTGATATGTGTACTATAGAAGGAACCCGTGTGTTTCTCTGCATTAATACATAAATGTAAGTTAATGAAAGAGGAGAAAGACAATTCTCTTAATCAGCTTTCTGAGATGTTAATTTGTGGCTTATTGGCTTTAAACATAGGTATTGTGATATTGTGCCATGTAAAAATAATGTACTTTAGCAGGGAACACAGCAGAGTAAATGCATCATGCTGTTCATCTATTATTCAGTTTATAAATAAACACACCCCTCTGTTGTTCTCTAGAGAGTTTGAGAAAGCCTGATGATTAAAGGCAAAGGAAGAGAGGCCTGCAGATAAACATGCCTAATAAAAGGCTGGGGCAAATGGAGAGGGATAAGAAAGAGCAGGCACAAAATACACATTAAGAACTCGTGTCTAAAATTGTACACTGTGGCTGTAGTATAAAATGTATAAGCCAAGGATAGGCACTTGATATTGTCAATGGTCAGGAGTTCTGGGAGGAATTGTAAAGACTTTCCTGTGCTCCAGTTCTCTCTGTAGTGGTAAATTGGCATCTGGACTATTTTGTCATAGAGAGGGAGGGGTAGATGGCATAATTACATGTTATGTTCTTCCATTAAGAAAAAATAAATCAAACATTTGTTGCAGATGGAATGAAACAGTGTTCGCTCAGCATCTTGGGCCAAGATCAAAATTAGGGTTTAGGGTGGATCTTGGATCTATTCAAATGTACTAGCTAAATGAGTATCTTGTCTGTAAGTAAAGGAAAGTTGTTGACAGATTTCTCTGTAGTCATCACATTGAAATAGTTGGAAAAAGCAAATCACTAGAAGACATTTGGATGAAAGTTCAGAGAGAATATAACTTTCAATTTATCTTTGTGAAAGTAAATTTTCAGCGCTCATCCAAAAGTGAATTTTGAAATAGACTAAATGTTACGCTATTCCAAGACATTTTTAAGAAAGAAAACTCATGTCAGACATTGAAGAAATATACCATCCTAAGTACATACATCCCATTGAGATTTTTAATTGATGCATTAAATATAAAGGAAAATAAATGTGTTTTTTAAAGCAAGTTTTATTTCAATATTTTTTATTTTTTAAATCTTTTTTTAAAAGGAACAATCATAGGTCTCATAAAAAATATTGCTCAATTTTACACGGTCCAAAAACGGTTAAGAAACATTGGAAGGAAGAATCAGTATAGCATCTAGCTTTGCCATTTTAGCTGCCATGTGGAGAAAATTCTTCATATGACATCTAACTATTTCTACCCATTATTGGAAGTGAAATAAGGCATGTAGAGGTTTACAACCCCAAACCTAGGCTACCAGTTGACGTGCATCTCAAAGTGCTTTGCATTTATATTATACACTTTATATGTATTATTTCCTATCTCCTCTGATGCTGACCAGCTTTGTATGTTCTCTGCCTTTCCAGTGTGACCACTCCCAACTCTTTTCCAGCCAATGACACCTTATCTCTTTGAAGCAATGTAGATGTTTCTTTTTTCTGGTGCTCACTTCATACATTCACACTTTCCCCTTCCCTCCATGGCCTTGAAGTATGTCTTAAAACATGCATGAAAAATAGAAGGTAACTACATAGATAGCTAACAAGAAAATAGAGAATATCCAATTGCTATAAACTAGTCTAAAGAGCTAAAAAGGATTTTGCATAGAGGTATAGAGGAATAATTGATGCTCCTCACTATGACAATATACATGAGAAGATGCTTGTTTAGAAATGTGTGCCTTAAACTTAAAATGCTTACTTTAAGCAGAAGCATGTGAATTAGACTCAAAACTCCATAGGCAGCCAGTATAGTTCCCTTTGAAGAAATACAACTAGGCAAACTTAGAAGCCAAACTCTATTTTAGTTACACCACCAAAAACATACTATAGTTAGCTTTCCAATGAATGAAATCTTAGCACTGTAAATTTCTAACACAAGAAATAACAACCAATAAATATTGTGACAGTTATAGCCAATAACTACCACATCATCAACTCCAAGCCTTATTGTCTAATACATACCCCCCGCCCCATTCTGAATCTCGCCACAAGAATTTTTAATAAGCAGATCATCAAAAGATTAGCCCTTATACTGATGGAACAATATCACATTGAGGATCAATTTGCAAACTTTAGAATTGCTTTTTAATGCATGTATTTATTCTCTGTATCAAATTTCTATAAGTAGTTAAGGTAGTTCTGTATAAGCAAATACTACAAAATTGAAACAGTATATGTAATACCATAGAACAATTTAAAAACTCAGTCTTCCACATTCCAAAACGTCCATGACGTAACAAACCAAATCAAAGAATAGCCAGATTCTTGTCATTCATTTCTTTATAACTAAAAACAAACAAACCACAACCCTGATAAGTTTTTAAGTTAATGTTTTTAACATATTTAGAAAAAACAAAATACTCTGAAATAAAACTTGAAAATAGTTCAAAGTAGTCTTCTACTATATTTCTGTGACAACCCCCTAGTTTTTAATATGGCATAAAGGTTCCCTCTAAAGCATGGATAAGCAATAAAATGGAATACTTGTAAGCTTCAGCCTCTTCTCTTAAATCAGCTATGAAAACCTGAAGAAAGATTGGCCATTTTAAGGATTCAAAAAGAGGACATGAGCTGTAAATTGGAAGCGCATCCTAGTAGATGCTAAGGAGTTGTGTGTATGTGTCTACATGTGTGTGTTTGCAAGTGTAATAGCAAGGTTTCAGACATCCATTTTTACTATACAAAAGTGGGGGCCTCATTTGTTTGGTTTAGCGCCTTCCATATTTTAAATGGGAAAGCTGTGTATAAAAACATTATCATCACTGAAATGGGCAATATCCATCTTTTTCATTAAGACCCCTGTGTCAAGAGAATACAATGGACTCCTTATGCAGGTTCCTTTTCCTGATACTAGTACAAGAAGTAGCAGAATAATTTTGTGCAATTGTTTCCACACTTTTCGTAAACATCAGTACAAAGCTAGCTCGGAGGAACTTGCTTAAGATACCGCGTGATGTAAAGCTTAATGTTTTGTCCTGGGACTGGTGAGATAGATGTTTAGATCCCAGATGACTGCCAAGCTCACTTAGTAATATTTGCTCTGTTAATATTTCTCAGCCCAATTATTGGGAGGATTAAATAAATGGGGATCTGCGCTGTCCTAAGTTTCTAGCAGAAAGGTGGGATAAAATTGTATACTTATACTAAATGACATTCAGGGAAGCTAGATACAAACCTTGAAACAGAAGGATGATGTCAGAGACAGAACTTGAACAGGAATGTGTTCTTTCATTTTATTTCCCCAGTTTGCTGGACCTAAAGCAGGAGTGAGTAATGTATGGGATTCAATCTTAAAAATATGTATAATCCCAGAAATATCTATTATTCTACAAGTCCAGTGATAATTATGTATCTTAAAAAAAACCTTATTCTTCTCAGTCTTTCATGTTGGTACTGCATGCCAAATCTCAGTTAGCCTCATATACCGTCCATGAAGAAGATATTATCTCCATATTGCAATTTAAGGAGTTGTGGCTGGAAAAAGTAAGTTATTGATTAAGACCTAACTAAAGTCAACATTATGGAGGTGGGATTGGGATCCAGTGGCCACCCAGATTTTATCCTATGGTCCTATGCTGTTATATTGGTCTTCCCCAACCTGATGCCCAGATTTCCAGTCCTTCTTTATCTTACTGGCCTTCTGAAGGGCTGTACAGTCTTGGCTCTTTAGGAAGCATTGGAACATAAGAAAGATTAGCCTACTCACCCATGCCCCACCCCATGGGTGGTACTGTACATTCATGATGTTTTGGTTAATACGAAGTTTCCTATGGGATTTGATATTTTTAACTCTATGTATGGTGATCCGTAAGATCCCACGAGAATGCCTTAGCAAATACAGACCTGCCTACTTACATAATACAGGGAGTGAGTGCAAGGGAAAGCTGCTGTGCTCATCTGTATGTTTCCTTCTTTTGTGGTCTTATTACTCAATTTCTATATTTCTTCATAACCTTTTAAAAACATTCATACTGGAAGAAGGAAGGACCACAGTTGGTGTGTACAGGTTTTGCAAGCAAAACCCCCCAGCTTTCATTCCTGGCATCTCCAGGTCAGATTGGAAAAAAAATCTTTGCTGAACCTCTGGAGAATTTTGGCTACTTGATATTGATAGCTGGCTTAGACAGACTACAGGTGAGACACCAGTGAACCACAACTTGGCCAATCACATTTTAACTTTGCATGTTAGACAAATCGTTTATTTAAAGTGCAGTGTGAACCCAGAATAAACTGAATACATTATTGTTAAACGTTTA